CTGTCAGGATAATGTGGGGGCCATGGTGGTTTATTTGAACATTGGTGAGGAAGGCTGCACTTGTGAAATGAATGGACTCACCCTCCCAGGACCTGTGGGATTTGCTTCCACCAGCACCATCAAGGATGCTCCTAAACCAACCACTCCTTCCTCCAGTAGTGGCATTGCCTCTGAGTTCAGCAGTGAGATGTCCACCTCGGAGGTGAGCAGTGAAGTGGGCTCCACTGCTTCTGATGAACATAACACTGTGGGCCTGGAGGCTGGTTTGCTTCCACGGCCAGAGAGGCGCTGCAGCCTCCACCCAGCACCCACCTCTGGGGTGTTTCAGCGCCAGCCTTCTTGTGCAACCTTCTCCAGTAATCAGTCTGACAATGGCCTTGACAGTGATGATGACCAGCCTGTTGAAGGGGTCATAATCAATGGCAGCAAGGTAGAAGTAGAAGTAGATATCCACTGCTGCCGAGGAAGAGATCTTGAGAGCTGTCCTACCCTTACAGAGAATTCTTCCACCCCATGTCCTGAGGAACATGCTAGAGGGTTGTTTTTTGGGATCCGGAGACAGAACAGTGTAAATAGTGGCATACTTCTGCCAATGTGTAGGGACAAAATGGAGTTACAGAAGTCTCCTTCTACTTCCTGTCTCTATGGCAAGAAGCTCTCCAATGGCTCAATTGTGCCCCTAGAAGATAGCCTGAACCTCATTGAAGTGGCCACAGAAGCACCCAAGAGGAAAACTGGCTATTTTGCTGCCCCTACTCAGCTGGAGCCAGAGGATCAGTTTGTTGTACCTCGTGACCTGGAGGAAGAAGTGAAGGAGCAAATGAAACAGCATCAGGAAAGCAGGCCTGAGCCCGAGCCCGAGCCCAGTGAAGAGGATCGGACTGAGCCCCCAGAGGAGTTTGACACAGCACTATGATTCTGCCACTGTTGCAGGCACAGTGTGAGAAAAGGCTTTTGTGGTGTTGGGGAGGGACCCTTCCAGAGGCATTTTGCCTTTGTGTTTCTAACCAGAAATGTGTGGGGTAAAACTCAAGAGCCCAAAAAGGTGAGAGCTATCAGGGCCTGACCCTGGATGAGCCAGTACCACCATCAGTGTTAAGTTTTGCATTTAACCTGCATTGGAATTCCCAGAGTTACTGGGAGGAAAGCAGAAGTCGTTCTCTGTCAGTCCTACCACCTGCCATTAACCCTTTCTCTCCTAGGATCATTTTGAGAATTTGCCTGCCTGGGCAGGAAAGGGACTATTTCTGTGGAGGAAATAACTGAAGGTTGATTCCCTTTACTAATTGCTGCTGATGGATCTCCATGACAGAGAAATTATCTTTCAGACTAACTAATGGGGTGTGATGTGACTAGTCACATGGCTTTTCATTCTTCTCTACGAGAATATAGCCTATCAAAATGATGTTTATTGGAGATGTAGAACCAATCAAACAGATAATTTATGTAAGTAATGTAATGAGAGCACTTTTCATTGACTGTGAACTTTTTATTTTTGAATCTGCACTCGAGCCAATCTTCTTAGAGGCAGCCCAACACCTTTGTCCATAGGCAGAGAGATAATTGAGTATTGGAGCCTTCTGTGAGGGTACTTGGAAAGGCCCTGGATTGAGCTATTGGATGTCAAAGTGTGAAAGCTCCTGAGGAACATGGGGTAGAGAGGAATCTTCTTTTGGGGGTAAAGCTGGGGAAGGAGCAAAGACTTCCTTCCCCATATCAGAAAAAGAGTCATTCCTTAACAGATGTGATACCCACTAGGAATGTGATTTGAGCAGATCACAAGGTAGGCACTTGGGGATTGGCCTCTTTCCCTTACCATGTGGTAGAATTGGCAGCCAGCTTCCTGACAGGCAGGGCCAACACCAGCACTGCTGGCATCCAGGAATCTTGAATTACAGCAGATGATTCCCAAACAGATGGAGGCTATGTGAGAACAGATGGGTGGATGGAGCTCACAGGTTAGATGTGTTCCTTCTTTCTCCAAAGTGAGAAATGGTTTTCTAGAATGTTGGAAGTGAGTTGTCAAACCTTGCACTAAAGGTTTGACAGTGTACCTATCTGAAAACTGCTAACTCGCTTCATGTGGTTTCAGAGTACTGGACTCAATACCAATATAAGACAGACTCGAGAAATTCTTAACTTGATTTTTCCTTTTTTTTTTGGCACATTCCACATAACTCTAGCAAAATGCAATTCCTTCTGTATGTTTGTTGCTTTTTCCATTAAAAGATTTTCTTAAGTAAACTAATTCCTATTTCTAGTCCTACAAAATTTTGGCATTGCTTGATTTTACCCATTGAGAAATGTGCTTTGAAGTTTTAAGACATTTCATAGTTTGAAAACAAGAAAACAGAGTGACCATTTTTAATTTGTTTCATCAGAAACAAAATGTTAAATATAATGTTGGAAGTATATGTTAATTTCTTTGTGGGTTCTTTTTGGGAGAGTTTGGGGGGAGTTTTTGTTCAAAGCAATAGTCAAAAATTAGATGACCTGTCCACAAATAGTTATGTCTCTTCATTCTCTCAGAGGCTCCATACCCATGTGCATGTGTCATTAGGGTACATTCTTAGGGAAAGTACCCCATTCTGTATACCCCATTGGCTACCTAATGTTCAGCTCTCAAGAATTTGAACTTGAGTCCCCAAATCATCAGGAACACTTGACTTCCTTCCGTCAAACTACTGATCAGCTACTGAAAAACTTTAGAACTCAGGTCTTTGATTTGAAGTGGGGAATATGGTGGCTCATACAAAGTTTAGGTGCTGTTAGAAAGATGGGTACAATAGTATGTTGCCACCTTATTTTTATATGGGAATGAAAAAAGAAAATGAAGGAAAAACCCAAGATGTTAGTGATGGGTGATATCAAACATCTTCCTACTCAGACAGCAGAACCTTTGGGTTCTGAATAGACTAGTGAGTGATGTTGTCTAAAAATTAAAGCTATTTTGGGAAAATACCACTTTAGTAGTATAGTCTTATAAAAATTGTCATTTATCTGTGACTACTTTTCTTCTATTTGTTTCCTGTCCTACTTATTGGAACCACCTCAAAACCCAGGTCCATATTGACCTTTCCAAAAGTAGTGTGTTTGCTTTTTGGTCAACAAAACTCTGAAATTCCACATGTATTTTGATGTGGTGGAGTTATTTTCAGGTACCATTAGGTCTGATGAAAACCTCTATTATAGGATATACCAAAACTGATTATTCTTTTTTTTTTTTTTTTTTTTTTGCAATTTCCTTTCATTCATGTCCTTCTACAGTTGTTCTGTATTAAAACAGAAGGTTAAAAGGCCATAGTTCATTACCAAAAATACATACCCCATTTGCCCTATGAGGTAATTGACAGATGTTGTGTTATCTGAGTAGGCTGTCAAATGAAAGCCAGTAATCTGTCTGCAAATGAGTGTCATTTTTCTCAATACCTTAACTCAGAGGGTATGTTCCCCGGGTGGGCAGAGTACAGGTGATCCCTAGCATGGAGAGCCTGGTCTCTGCCTGATTCTTGGGTCTCTGCATGTACCTCCCACTTAACAGAGTTTAAGATAATTTCTGGAAAAAAAAAAAACAAAAAAACTCCTGGTTATGGGTGCAGTTCAAGAGTCCCATGGGGAAAGGAAAATACATGTGGCTTGATATATTTATCCAAATGGATTGGAAATACACCCGAAATTTTCAATGTTGGTATGACATAAAGCTCTAGTGCTACCATAGTCAAATCATTGAATTACCATTTCTGACATAGTGAGGGCTTTATTATACTACTGTAGAGTGTATATGTGCAATAAGTCATTGAACCCATTTTCCTGGCGTACAGAAGAGCCAACACAAGCAACATGGCATCACTGGGTGCTATTACAATTGCTTGTAGCGAGTGCTATTTTCCAGGAGATGGAGCCAGTTGCGTTTGGCAGATCTATTAAATGATGCTCTTCTTTCTATGTAGACCTTCAACAAAAGCAGGTACTTGGAAGCCACAGGCTCACCTTCTTTATCTATTTAATAACTATCAATGAAGAGACCTCCATAAGGGAGCATATGGCTGTTAATGATAAATGTATCAATTACTAAAGAATTAGTCTCCAAGCCATCCAGTGATGTCCACAGCATCACTGTAGAACTGTCTTGTCACTTTTTACTTCCCTCTGGGTGGAGCCTTCCAGACTCCCCAATCATGGACACAAGTTATTCTTTCTTTCCAGTTAGTGACTTTGCCCCGTGGTTGGGTAAGTACTTCCTAGACTGAGAAAAGTGGCTGCAGTCAAACCTGCTCTGTTTCCCTCATTTGGTGATTAATCAGCATAAGCTCCTTGTATTCTAAATCTCATGCACCTCTCCCAGATGCTGTAGGGTTTCTCTGTTGCCACTGGATGTCAGCCAGACAGTGGGCTCATATCTATGGTTTTGTGCAATCATCGTTGTATTGTAGTCCTAAGACTCATTATAGTGTATTTTTGATATTTTTGAAATGTGTTAAATTTTTTAATTCAATAATATGAGCCAGAGCATGTTGCAGCAAATCTATTGTTTGTAAAAAATAATAATAACAATAATAAATAAAATAAAATGGAATATCTTTTTCATGCCTTTGTTTTAAAATGGAATGCTTGTTATTTTACAAATATTTGAGCATGAATCTAGAATTTTCTCCCTTTTATTATAGAATTAGGTTCTTAACCAAAAGTAGTTTTAAGATCTTTCTTTCTTTCTCTTTTTAAAAATATTTATTTTTTAGTTGTAGTTGGACACAATGCCTTTATTTTATAATTTATTTTTACATCATGCTGAGGATCGAACCCAGGGCCTCGCACTCTGCCACTAAGCCACAACCCCAGCCCCTTTCTTCTCTTTCCTGCTTCAGGAAGATAAGCAAGAACAAACATGTGGAGTATATTCCATGACACTTTGAGGCTATATGAGTTAAGGCAAAATATTCTTTGAAGGGAAAGCAAGAAACAAGAGACAGGTAAACAAGAAATGAAAGGCGGAGACCAGGCAGAGATACACACGAGAATTTATTTATCAGAACTGACAAAAAAAAGTCATCTCTCTATAGCGGAGAGAGGGGCAAAACAGGCTTGGGTTCCAGGACTTTTATAGGGCAGGCTCAGGAATCAGAGTTGGTCCCTAATGCGGGTGGTTAAGGGTTGGGTTGGTATGAGGGAAAGGTGAGCCTTTCTCAGAAAGGCCCTTGGGCAGGAAAGCAAAACTTTTTCCTTAATATGGCAGCTGTCACTTAAGATGGCCATCTAGATGCTAAGCAAGGACCTTATATTCTTGATCACCTTTTGTATTAGCTTTATATCACTGTAACAAAATATCTGACACAGGTTACTTTTGAAGAAGAGTTTGGGAGCCTTAGGGGCATGGCACTGGCATTGGTTCAGGTCTCAGCGGTGTCATGTCATGGTGGATAGCAATGGCAGAAGCATGTTTGGGAGCCAGCAATTACATCTCACATCAAGGAGCAGAGAGAGCTGTGTGGGACCCAAGTTAGGCTTTTATATAATAATCCCCTCAGAACTACCAGAGGATCCCAGGAGACCCATTTTCTGAGGACTTGTACCCAGTGACCTAAGGTCCTCCTCCCACAAGACCTCATCTCCCATTAGCGCCACCCTGTGTATCAAGCCTTCGATCACAGTGGACTCTTGGGGGACACTCCAACTACACACAAACAGCACCATTTCAAGTGAAATAGCAATAAAGGTTTTTAAGAAACATCATATCCTGACTTGGTTCATATGTTCCCAATGATGGGAAGCAGTCCTTATTTACATGAAGGTTATTAGCTGATCAGAAGAAACTCGATTATAAATGATCTGCAGCTCTTCTTTAAATAATCACAAAGTGGGTGATGACAGGCTGTGTGCAGAGTGGGCCGTCACATGTTCCATAACATAATGGCTTCATGGTAGAACTTCAGTTTAGTGGTTTTTGCTTCCAACATACTTTTAATCTACTTAGAGCCTACAGATGGGTGCCGCCATCCTTGCCCCCACTGTTGTCTCCTGACTTCCAAGGAAGATTAGCTACCTTGCTCCAAATAAAGGCCATGTTAAAGGCATTTTGCAGATTTCCTCATCTAGAGAATGAACATTTTGAAAACTTAGGTTTGACAACTGTTGCCTCAACACCTGATTACTGGTTACTACACCACCATCTACTTTAATACCCTAGTTCCATAAGATATGCCTCCCTGGTCCAGGGTGGCAGAAACACATTTCTTTGGATATGTTCTGCACTCCCTAGGACACTGAAGGCAAAAGCATGTTAGTCACCATCAGGTGATTCAGTAGGTCTGAGTTCTGTCTGTTACTTGAAAGTTTTGTCATTTAGGCAAGTTATGGCACTTTCCTAAGGCTTGCACACTCATGTGCTCTCAATTCTCTTTCTCTAGTGCTGAGAATTGAACTGAATGCCTCATGCATGCTAGGCAAACACTCTGCCACTGAGCTGCATCCCCACCCAGAGGTTCTTATTTGTTAAGATAGTATCTGTCATCAGTCATGAACTTAAATAAGAGGACCCAAAGTACTTGAGCACAGTGATGTACTTGGCCCATAGCTTTCAATGAAATGTTAATTATTGGGTAAAACACTTGGTCTTCTTGAACCTTGTTATTCTCTTCTTGAATAACAAATCTTGACAAGTGGTGAATAAGTGCTAAAGCTTTTGAACCTTATAAAACTGTGGACATGCATGAGTATTGTTAAAGTCACCCATAGGCTCCTATCAGTGAAGAGAGCTGCATCTCAGGAGCAGTATCCCAGCTGGGCCTGGGCACAAAGCTGAAGTCAAGTAGTCCAAAGTCCCCATTTTATCTAGCAAAAGGCCCAGCATGGGCAAAGATCATTTAACAGGGATATGATCTTTGAGAATAAATGCTAGTTGAGACCAGTGTATGTGTGCATTGTTCTCTTGAGGAGTGGGTGTTTGTTTTTTACTGCTGTTAAAATCTCTGCCACTCAAGAGAAATTTGTGTGGACTCCAGTCACTGCCCCAAGCTAAGGGTGCCAGGAAGCACCTTTCTGTGGCATAGTGGACTTTATTCCAACTGAGCAATAGAGATTTCCAGTTGGTTGTTTTCTTCCAAGCTTTGTTCTCTCATTTCTTTGTGAATTTTACTTCTGACTTTTTTTTTGTCTTGGATAGGTTCCATAAGAATTAGCTATGGAAAAGCAAGAGAATGCGAAAAAGACCCAGATAAAGAGAATGTGAATATTTCTAGTTGGATCTGACACAAACAGAAACATTTGAGACTGTAAAGTACAAGAACAGGTATAACACTTCAGATGGCAATTACTGAAAAGACGTTTAAGATTCCATGTCAGAAATCTGTTACATTATGAAGATGGTGCAGGGGGATGAGGGTCACTATCTTCCTTGGAAGGCCTGCAAGTAGGGGAATGCAGAAGTGAGAAGTTCTCCAATTAGCCTTTGGAGTCTAGTAAAATTAACTGCTTTATCTTTGAAATTAGTTGAATGACATCTTTAAGAAGCTTGTGAGTTTTCTCACTATTTGGAAACCTCATGTTTAAAAAAATTCTAAATACTTCAAAATGAATTCCAGTGGATGGGAATAGAAACCCTCTTGGAATAGCTGGTAGGAAATACTTTCCGTGAGCCCCGAGGCAGGGGTCCTGAGGACGATCAAGCTTGCTGAAAACATCTCTTTCCCAGAAACCCAACTCCCATCTCTTAAAGAAGGGGGCTGCTTGGCAGTATGCAGGTGCAGGGGACACTGGTGGCACTCAAACAGAAGAATTCTTCCCCTCTGGGGACAGGGGAGATTTACCCATTTAGAATTCACTCACAGCACTGCTTTACAGTCTTTCCCTGGAACCAAGCAAGGATTGCTTATTCCTTTTGACGACTCAAGATAGTTATGACAGGTGAGATTTCTACTGTAACACTGGACGTGTTACCCTCGGATGTGTTGTTCTCAGCTTCTGAAATTTCTCTGGCTAGTTGGCTATTTCTACCATTATCATATGGTAAGATAGCATCACCATCAGGGGATAGCCTGACTTCTGATGTTGCTTTTTGTACTAGTTTTCTCAAGTGATCATCGGGTCAGCCAACAAGGACATACTGATCTCCCTTTACAACAGAAAAATGAGACAATTAACTCTGCATTCGTACCAAAAGAAGCACTTATAAAATTGAGTATGTGAAAACCAGTTGTTTGCAGTGGCTGTGAAAGACTTGACTCTTGAGAGAGACAATGGGGTTGGGTTGACAATTATGTTCCAGAAGGTCTCCCTTAGAGCGTCCCAGACCACAGGTATTCTGGGACATCCCTGCCATTTCTCTGCTCTTCTTGGCTGTCTTTGTAGAACTTCTGTTCCCGATAGCTCCGCAGGGCCAGTACCACACTGGCACTGTACATAATCACCAGGAGACAAGCAAAGGTGGCTGCTGCTCCGTCAGTGCCTGCCAGCTGGCAGTTCATCCAGGTGAGACCCTTGCGGGCGTAGAGCCTCTCTCTTGTTTTGCAGGTGTCCGTGGAGTTGATCTGCAATGCCACGTGGAGGTAAACGCCAATGCCTACGCAGTAGCCCACTGCTGCCAGGAGGCTGAAGGCGGCCTCCAAGAGGAGCCACTTTCTAGGCAGTTTTGTTAGGCTCTTGGCTCCTTGGAGTAAAACGCCCATGGTGAGGGCACCCAGCCCCAGAGAAACAGCCACACCGCCATATATCAGGGGCGCCCGGAGGACTGTATACTTCTGGTCCAGTTGCCGAACCTCCTCCAGCTCAGTGCCCTCAAATGGTGAGTAGTAGTTGTTTCCGAAGCCACCACCACTGGCAAAGCTGGCGCTGAATCCAGCAAGGACAAAGTAGGAGGCCACGATACACATGAGAACCATCCCGTTCAAAATCACCTCCACTATCTGTACCACACCTAGAGGAAGAGAGAGTCAAGGTAAACACTGACATCACTCACCAGGTCAGACTAGCGGATCTGCTGACCCGATTGTAAGAACATGGTCACATTCAACATCAACATTCTTGAATTGCTTGTGGTGGGTGGTTGTTTTAAAAATATGTTTGAAATATCAGAATGCCACTTTGAGAAATTTTAGGCTGTTCTTATAAATACTCCATACACATTTACCATGTAACCCTGTGACTGATAATGAGATTAAGAGATTTATCCTAAAGAAATGAAAACTTTTGTCCACAAAAGAACACATACAGTAGTGTTCATAGTAGGTTTATTTATTATTTATTGGTGCTGGGGATTGAACCCAGGGCCTTGTGCATGTGAGGCAGGCACTCTACCAACTGAGCTATATCCGCAGCCCACAGTAGGTTTATTCATAATAGCCCAATACTGGGAACAACCCCAATGTCCTTCAGTGGGTGAACGATTACACAGGTACACTCATGCCACAGAATGCACTGATGAGCAATAAAAAGGAATGAGCTGTTGACATAGACAACAACGTGGACGAATCTCAAGGGAATTATGATGATCGAAAAAAAGCCAGGCTCAAAAGGTTACATACTGAGTGAGAGGAAAAGGAGATGGGTGTGGCTATAAAAACACCAGGGATGTGTGTGATGATCCGGCAGCTCTGGATGGTGGTGGCAGTAACCAGAACCTACACGTGAAAAAACTGCATAGACTACACACATTGTTTATAGTTATGCAAGATGTAACATTGGGGAAAATCAGGTTAAGGGCACACAGGCATTTCTCTGTACCATTTTTGTGACTTGTGAATATATCAAAATGATTTTTTTTGTGTGTGTGTGGTGCTGGGGATATAAACTAGAGCCTTTTGCATGCTAGACAAGCAACTTCACCACTGAGCTGCATCTTTAGCCCAAAAAACAACATAAGAATTAGCTGGACACAGTGGTGCACACCTGTAATCCCAGTGGCTTGGGAGGCTAGGGCAGGAGGATCTCAAGTTCAAAGCTACTTTCAGCAAATTAGTGAGACTGTTAAAAAAAAAAAAAGGTGGGGGAGGCTAGAGATGTGGCTCAGTGGTTAAGCACTCCTAGATTCAATCCTCACTACCAAAACCCCCTCAAAACACAAAAACAAAAAACAAAACTTACACATAAACTGAGAAAGTCCATTCAAGTCTCTACACATGGTTCTCTATCCTTAACCACTTAAGTTTCCATTACAATTGTCCAGTGTTCCTTTATACAAATAAAAGCATACACAAGTCTGCATTTCATCCCTTCTCTGGCTTTTTTCACAAAAGTGTACCATATTCGCAGGTCTGTATTTGCATTTTGCATTTACTATACCCTACCGCTCTCTCCACATCAGTTTCTACAGAATGACCACATTCTTTGTGCATGGCCTCCAACTTCATTGTATGGATGGACCAGTCTGTTCAACCAGATGGATCCGGATGGATACTTGGACTGTTCACTTAGTGGTGCAGAGTGGGGACAGTGTTCTTTTTTTTTTTTTTTAATATTTATCCTTTAATTTTCAGTGGACACAACATCTTTATTTTATTTTTATGTGGTGCTGAGGATCGAACCCAGCGTCCTGTGCATGCCAGGCGAGCACGCCACGGCTTGAGCCACATCCCCAGCCCGGGACAGTGTTCTTTTAAGTTTAAGGAATCCACAAATGCTGCAAGATAGTAAGAGCCAACAGAGACTGAATATCTTCTTGTCCGAGCTTAGCTTTCATCTGGTACCAACAGAGGTCCCCGACCCTTCTGAGGAGAATGTCTGTTATCATTTCCTTGGGATTCAGAGGTGAGAAAGAAGGGAAATGCAAATGGACCTGGAGTGGAAACACCAGGTTCAAGTCCCCACTGTTTCCTGCCTTGTGATATTGCCCATGTCATTCAGTCTTTCTAAGCCTCAGACACTTTATCTGACCAATGAAGACAAGGTTTCCAGTCTTATCCCACAAGGCTGTGGTGAGGGCCAAGCACAGCTGGCCCTCCATACCTGCAGGTTCTGCATCTACAGATTAAACCAAGGATTGAAAATATTTGAAAAAAAATTTAACTGTACAGAACATGTAGACTCTTTTCTTGTCATTATTTCCTGAACAATACAGCAAAAATGACAATTCCCATGGCATTTGCATGGGATTGGGGATTGTAATTTTTAAAAAATACTTATTTTTTAGTTGTAGTTGGACACAATGCCTTTTATTTATTTATTTTCATGTGGTGCTGAGGATCGAACCCAGGGCCTGGAACATGCTAGGTAAGCACTCTACCGCTGAGCCACAACCCCAGCCCCTGGATTGTAATTAGTCTAGAGATGATTTAAAGTATACAGAGAATATGCATAGATTAGTTACAAATACTATGCCATTTTATACAAGGGACTGGTACATCCTTAGATTTTGGTGTCCACGGGGGATTCTGGAACCAGCTCCCCTGTGCATACCAAGGGATGACTGTCTCTGAAAATCACAGGTTATTGTTTCTAAAATGTAAATTGGTGAGAGGCTTAAGAAATGGGACAGATTTATTAAGAGTGTTGTTTCCAGAATTAAGACAACCATCAATGACATAGGTGGCACAGTGAAGTCTATAATCTGGGCAGCTAAAGGACATAGGCGACAGTGGGCTTGCTATTCCTATCTCCTGTGGGCCCACACAAATTCCTGAAGGACCAAGAGACACAGCAGTCATGGGCTCTCACTTGAGAAGCTGCATTCTTTTAATTTAAAAATCCAAGTAACATCAGACCCAGACTGCCCAAGATTTAGGAAATATGACCATTTTCCTTCTGGGACAGATTCTTCCAAACCAGTGGAGTCCTGACCCATGTAGCACACATCTGCTGGGCTGAAATGGAATAAATCTAGCTCTTGTGAATCACCCTACTGACAGCAACAACTGAGAGGGATAACAGCTGACTTCTGGGTCTAATGATATTGGGTCTGTTGAAGGAATATGATCATGTATTTTTGTTCCAGGAACCAGCCAAGCCTGAGCTGGCTTAGCTACCAATATCAAACAGGTTCAAGTATTTTTAAGCAAGCTGCTAGTGCAGAAAGAGACACAGGCACCAGAGAAATATGATAGGGATGACCACCAGAGATAGCCGTCACTTATATCCAAGTTGGGATGGAACAAGTGTTCAGGAAGACAGCAAAGAACTCTGTAGAAATGTAGACTCAAAAACTCACAGATCTTTGCTATAAATAGCATCTTTCTGGGTAAGGCTGTTTTTGTGGCTGGCCATTTAATACCCCTTAATCATACATCTACTTCTGCCTTTGCACTATAAATTTAATTCTTAAAAAAACAAAAACGGAGGAAAGCAAATCCAATTTTTAATTTTTTTTATTTTTCTAAAATGAATACATGTTCAGTCATGTATAAAATTAAAAATTAAAAAAATCCCCTTCTCTCTACAAAACTGTTAATACTTTCTTATGTATTATTCAAGAAATTTGACAATCATACACATACATGTATCTGAACTTCCTTTTCTAAACTCAAACTTATCTTCTAAATGCAATAAATTGACCTTATTCAAGAGAATGATATAAACATATTTTAAAGAGAACCATCATTTTGAAATTCAAATTTTTCTTTGGATTTTTTTTTGTTTGGATTCACATAAGCAAAGAATGGACTTGTACCAAGAATATATTGTAATGTTCCATAAGTCATTATTCCATGTGCAGTAAAAACCCATGAAGTTGTCTGGCCAAAAGTGACATTCTTCTGTTGGGAAGGATTATACATTCTTTTCTTCTGGATGGATCCTGAATTCCAGACCTCAGGTTTAATTCTTCATACAATGATACATTTAGGAGAGGTACAAAACACTTATTGAGTTTTCCAGCCATTGTGAGGGGCTTACAGAATAGCTTCTTTGCAATCCAGTGAGTTAACTGACTCCTCTTTGCCCAGCCCACGCCCACTTGCAACTTAAATTTTCCAGGGGTAGCTCATCTGGAAGCCCTGCCCCCTTTTCCCGGTGAACTGTGGCAGCGGAAGGACTATGGGCTATCTGCTGAAGACAGCTGTGTCCAGAACAGTTCAGGCTAAAGTTATCTCCTGCCTCTGTGACTTCTGATGAACTCTGAAGATAAGGTACTTTCAATTTGCTTGGTTATTTTCCCTCATTTAATCAATAACTATACTTCTTTCTCTGTCTGTTTTAGTACCGGGGAATGAACCCAGGGGTGTTTTACCACTGAGCTACATCCTTGGTCCTTTTTCTTTTATTTTGAGACAGGGTCTCACTAAGTTGTGAGACTGGCTTTGAATTTGCAATCCTCCTGCCTCAGCCTCCAGAGTTGCCGGGATTACAGTGTGTGCCACTACGTACCACATGCTTTTCCCCTGTGAGTCCTGGATTCCAGGCTTTATTTATTTATTTATTTAAAAAAATAATTTTGGTTAGGGGGCTGGGGTTGTGGCTCAGTGGTAGAGCGCTTGCCTAACATACGCAAGGCACTGGGTTTGATTCTCAACACAACATATAAAAATAAATGAATAAAATAAAGATCCATCAACATCTTAAAAAAAATTTTCTTTTGGTTACTCCCTCAATAACAGGATTCCAAAATCCAAAGTTGGTTGTGCCAAAGAATGCTGCTTCACACAACTGGGAGCTAAGCCCACCTCTACTGAAGTTGGCTTGCTACTTTTGAAGTTCTGGCAAGTTTTACAACAAAGAATTCTTACAAAAGATGGTAGTTCAGAATAATTTCCATCACTTATATTTGGTAGAATGTTTTAAGAAGGCTAAAACACCAACATTTCTGGAGGCTTCTCTTTCAGTTTCTTGACTTTTAGGTAACCCCTGATGGCTAAGACAGCTCCCACGGTAAAGACCCCAATACCCAGGGCTGCGAAGACCCCAGCTCCTATATCTCCACCATGGAAACTGCAGCTGAAGCCACTGTACCCTTTGCTTTGGTACAGTGCTTCCCTCTCTTTACACACA